CACTTGATCAAAATTCAGACAGTGGCTGACTCATATTTATGATGGTTGTGTTCTAGGATCATGTGATCACCTTGTGAACTGACAAGCACAGTCAATGGGGAAGGCAGATTCACTTAACAACCAGGTTACTAACTTAACCATGTTATTAACTTAATCACTGCAGTGATTCTGGCAACAAAGGTGGTAAAATGGGGCAAAATTCACTTAACAACTGTCTTGTTTAATATCAAAAATGTTGAGCTCAATTGTGATTGTAAGTTGAGAACTACCTATATTAATAGATGAATATTGCTATAAATTCTGATCAATAAAAGATTATTGTACCTGAAAAGATGAAGTCATTACAACTGTTAAAAAATTAAAAGGCGTGATTATAATTCTGATCAACTTGCATTTTAGAAAAATCTGAATAAAATATGTAGCCAAATTCCAGAAGAAAATTGTCAGAGCCAGACCAGTGACCTGTCTTCTCTTTTAATATCCTTCTTTTCTGGAAAGCTTCTCTGCAAGTTTTTTGGAAAGCTATTAAGATCTAGCTATAGCAGAAGGAATGATTTGTCTCTGATCTCTCTGCCATGAAGACTGTGATTAATGATCTGTGCTTTGATGCTGTCAGATTATGTCCTTGCCTTGTTTTGTTTTGTTTTTAATCTTGTTATTGAGTATGGAGGGTAAGCTGCTCAGGGTTGAATGGAATTGGAACACCCTATATGTGTTACTAAGAAAATGAAATTTGAACTGGTAGAATAATTCAAAAAGAGAGTGTATGCAGTCATCAGCCAAACAGGTGCTAATGTTTTGTACCAGAAGACTCAGGCTGCCGTATACTGCCTAATCAGAAATATTTTTAAAAAAATCCACATTCTTCAATGGGAGTCCCAAACAGCTGATATGGGTTCCTTCCATGTGTTCCAAGTCTTGAGCTGTTCTCAGCACTGACTGCCTTTTAGCGGCTCTGCTAAATCCAACAGATGTCTTGACACGGAAATTAGAACCGAGATTTGGACTAAACTGAAACTTTGAGAGATCAGGACAAAGTAACACAACAGCCCCAAACAAAACTCAAGAAATAATATATTCCATAATGAAAGCATAATTTATTGTTTTATCAATATATAATATGCTGACACAAATTATACCCTTCAACATTACTACTGAACTTCATCCCCGAGTGAATACAGTGGTACATTTCAGGCACATTTGTAATTTAATTTGCAATAATTAAATTGCAAATGCACGTACCTGCTTATTGGAGTAGATTGATTTGGAGGAAGATGACTTTGTGATTTTATATAGAAGTATGTTATATTGGCTCTGAAGAAAATACACCTTTTATGTCAGAGCTCATCTGAGAACCATTTTGCTACTGGCATCTAAAATCTCATCTACCAATTACAAAATAATCAGTTTTATAACTTTGTTCATCTCCTTATAGCATGCCCTTAAAAATTAATGTATCTTGCTTGCTTGTTATATGAGTCGTACTTTTAGCTGGCACAGAATTGACAAAGGAGTGCAAGCAGGCACTTTGTGATAGCCTTGCATACATGGAACAAGCATGTATTAACTATGGCTGTAATCCTGTCAGGAAATAATCCTCTCTGAACCCAGTGGATTTTATTGCTGAGCTGGGACTGATTGGATTGCACTGTAAAGTATTTTCAGTTCAATGTAGTGAAAACTTTTTTCTGACAGATATTGCCCTTATTTTTTTTGTTATTAACCCTAAGGGGTATTTACATTGAAAACTGAATTTTTTAACTGGGAAAAGGGATTGGTACAGGTTGTGCAGTTTGAGGAATGAGATATTTATCATTCTAGTTCTTAAAGCTGATTCTTTAACATGCCAGTAAATGTAAGTGCAGTGCAATTACCTTATAGCTTCCATGACTGCTAGGTGACAGCACCTGGCTGACTGTATGATTTAAAAGGGCTAAACAGGCCTGATAATATTAAGATGGGAGACTACCAAGAAATCCTTGGAAAGTAAAATCTTGCAGACAAAAACACATCTGTTTGCCAGAAAAGCACATAAAGTCATCCACAGTCAAATTGAAGAATAATCTGAGATTATTCTTAATAATGAGATTTTAAATGTTTTGCAATGTAACCAGAAGAGGTGATTATGTATTAAATATATCTTTTAAAAGTATAAAGAAAATACATGTTTTTATTCCGTCTCTTTAGTAATAAATGCAATTGTTACAATTATTTTGAGCTCAAGTCTATAATAGAAGTTGATCAAATTTTAAACTGAATATATATGAAAAGTAATTGAGGTGGTTTTTATAGAAATGGAGCAAGTTACTATAAAATAAACTGAATTTTTATTAACTTTTAAAAAGATATTTTTCAGATTAGCAACAAAGCAATAAAACACCTTTCACCAATAGGCAACAGAGGTGTCCTTTGCTTGCCTTATTTCTAGTTCTCAAAATTAAAACATAAATTCTGTGAGGTTTTTGTTTTACCAAATTCCCCTGAGATTTTATATTTATTAAAAATGTTTCGGACTGGCATATTTTCTACAGGCAAGCAACAAGCTGAACCTCTGTATGTAGGAGAAAAAAAAAAACTTTAAATCTCTCATATATCCTGAATAAGAAACTTATGTTGTCGATTCCTTCTTTTCTAATTCTCTAGATACTCCCTTGAAAACCTACCCTTTTTCTTAATTATTGCTTTGTGGTTATTAAGGATATTTCTTAAACTTCCTGTGCCTTTCCCTACTATTAATTAAACATATTTCTAAGCATAAAACATGCTTGTTGTATTGCCGATCTTTCTACTGAATCTCCCACTGCTACCAAATAATGTTGTCCTGATCTGAAACTGCACCATTCATTATGGGCAAGATTTTTGATTCTCCTCTCCTGGCTGCTCCCACTTCAGTACTACACCCATCATGTAGGATTATATCCATCAATCAGAGCACAGCAGCATGAACACGGTGGATCTGTTTAAGCAATTCTGCTTGAGGTCCACAGACTGATATATCTGCTCTTTCTCTCACTTCCCATTTGGCCATGTTCCAACGTAAAACTGAAGGGAAGACACCAGGACAAAAATACCCCCGCCCCCCAAAGGAAGGAGGTAGATAAACCTTACCATGTGTGTACAACCAACCAGGTTGTGTGGAGAAGAATGGAAAGTGAGCAGCTGCTGGGCAACCACTTATTTGTGGTGTGAAAGTGAGGAGGGGCCTAACAATATGATATCCATGGCAAATAGGACAAAAGCTAATTTAGCACCACTCATTTTGTAAACTCTGCAGAGCTACATCTAAAAAATCAGATTCCCTTTGATGCTACTTCAGATTACAATCATATGAAATTGTGCAAAGCCTCTTCTTACTTTCCCCAGATAAAATAGTAGAGATCTGTTCTCTCTACCTCGTTGGAAGCATGGAAAGAAGTTGATTTTAAAAAACAGGGGAGGGCGAAAGCAAGAATACGAAAAGAATTCTGCTAAGAAATGCTAATAGGGAGTGCAAATCCTCAGAAAGCAATTGCTGCATTAAAAGCTGGCAAGTGACCAGAGAAGAGAGGCCCTGCTCCATGCTCTGAAACAACTCCGTGATCACTCCACAAGAGGTTATTTGACCTCACCTCTCAAATTATGAATAAGAAAGCAGCACAGATTGTATGTACCTTGAAACAAGGGGAGAGAGTATTGGCTTAGGGGGGGGGGGAGTCTACTTTTGTATCAATACACCTTGTGAGAACTTAAGACCGGGGCAGGATGAGGATTTTATCCTGTATCCCAGGGAGAAGACTGATATTTGGGACATGGTACTTCAGTGCTACCATAAACTAAATTTGAGGACATGGCTTCTCTATTTGGGGTTTAATCCTATTGCCCTTTACTTTGGGGAAGATAATTGTTAAAATTGTAGAAAAAAATCTTTTCCATATGTTAACCTTGTTCATACAGTTGCCTTGGAGTTCTTAAGTCTCTTAAAACAGTGGTCCCCAACCTTTTTTGTACCAGGGACCAGTTTCACACAGAAACACTTTTTCAAGGATGAGGGGGGGGAGGGGGAGGAGTCCGAGTTTGGTGGTTTGCTTGCAGACGTTTCATTACCTGACTAGATAACATCTGATGTTGTTACCTAGTCAGGTAATAAAACGTCTGCCGGCAAACCACCAAGTTCAGGGAGGCTCAGGACAAGTCCCTGCAGGATGGCTGAGAAGCCCTGCCTTTCAGCCCTGCCTCCCTCAGCCTCATCCCTCAGGCGTCTGCCTCGTTCCTCTCTCAGTCGCTCTCTCGCTCCTCCACCAGCCCAGGAAGAAACTGCTTCAAAGAAGCCGGCAGGGTGGCTTTTCCTGTCGGCACAGCTCCTCTGAAGCGCCCGTTCACCCCCACCCCGCCGCCCGTGGTTCAATCCAGGGCTCCGTCCTGCCTGCCTGCCTGCCTTCGTTTCTGGTTGTTTCGGAGCAGCTTCGGCTGAGTAAAAGAGGCGAATAGTTATTATTCTCAGCCAAAGTTACCCCGAAACAACCAGAAACGAAGGCAGGCAGGCAGGCAGGCAGAACGGAGCACTGGATTGAACTGCGGGCAGCGGGGTGGGGGTGAACGGGCACTTCGGAGGAGCTGCGCCGACAGGAAAAGCCACCCTGCCGGCTTCTTTGAAGCAGTTTCTTCCTGGGCTGGTGGAGGAGCGAGAGAGTGACTGAGAGAGGAACGAGGCGGGAGGAAACCGAAGCCGCTGAGCCGGAGAGCAGGACAGGCTTTGGTTGCTTCCTCCCTCCCCTTCTTTCATTTGTGTCCTTGATCCCTGATCCCAGCAGCATTCACCGAAGGCGAAGAAAGCCGCCATTTTTATTTTATTTTTATTTTCTTTGCGGCCCGGTACCAAATGATCCACGGACCGGTACTGATCCACGGCCCGGTGGTTGGGGACCCCTGTCTTAAAACAAATGTGATCTTCAGTTTCACCTTCCTTTTATTAAATTTATATAATATGCCCTGTCAATTCATTTATTGGTACCAAAAGCAATTTGGCTTAAGTTCTTTTTTTCTGAAGAGATGGTAAGGTGGGTTTTTGTAAATCTTCGGCTTTTTTCTTTTCTTCTTCAGCCTTCTTCCTTTGTTCCTTCAGCTCCTTATATCTCCATTTGGGAATCTCCAAGTAGGTCCCATCACTGGCATTACTTTTCCGTCGCACTTCCTCTGGCTGGAAAGTAGGCCGAGGTGCCTTACTTATACGGACTCTGGGGATGAAAAGTCCAGGGCGAACACTGCTTCTTCTTAACAAATGCAGTGGTAAAAGGCTGGCTTTCCTATGAACCACAACGTTGACCTGGGGCACATTCAAATGGAAAGGCTGCAGGCTGGCCCTCCGTTCCTTCCTTTTGGAGACTAGTATAATTCTGGAATTCTGAAACAACTTCTTATAGCTGTTAAAATGTTCCCCACTCTCCAAAGTTTGAAGTTCTTTAGCTCTTTGTTTCCTAAGAATTTCTTGCACAGCTGGCCTACGTTTTCCTACAGCAGGAGGACTTTCAGGACATACAGTTCTGCAAGCTATGGCAACGAAGGAGCTTCTTAAACTTGTTGTTGTTCTAACCATGTGATCAAGGACCCCATCTTCTTCAGGACCATGGAAAGTTCTGAAATCTACAATGGATCTCAAAGTTGCTGAGATCTTCTGCAAGCAAGTTTTTGAATCTGCAGCCTTAGCAAGAAGTTCCTTCAACTTTGGCCATTCAAGCAAATATTGATCACAAAATTGCTCAGCACATGGCTTATCCATAAGTCTCTGTATAAGATATGCAGATTCTATTCTTCCCGTGAAACATGCCCATTCTAGAGGAGTAAATCCACGACCTGGATCTGTTGCATTAATATTTGCTCCTTCAAAGAAATAAGAGAGAGAGAGAAATTAACGTCATGCTGTATGTGTTTTGAACTGAGAGGTTGTAAAAGTTGTAGTTCGTGATTGCTATTGTTAGTTATCATGGTTGATAGTCTGATAATAAGGTTTGAGCTATGCTAAAGTTTGAAGTACAGTACTGATATAATGCTCTGCATAACATTGCATTAATATTGTAGTCTTATGAAGATTAGCATAATCAAAGTAGAATGAAACAATCACTGATTAAAATTAATTTTCTTAAGGAATTCAAATTACATTGACTGATTACCTCATCCGCATACACCAACCATTCTCTTACAACAAAAACATAGAAGTACACACATGCACTCCTACAGAAATATAAATTCTATGCATTAATTAGATAGATGATAGATAGATAGATAGATAGATAGATAGATAGATAGATAGATAGAT